GCCGAAACGATAAACACTTACAGTTTAGGCGCTAAACTATAGAGACTGGCTTCTACACTAGAGACGTTTATAGTTTACCTTAAACTATGGAGGCTAAACCAAAATCTCTATAGCTTAGAAGCCTAAACGATAGAGCCTAAACTGTAAAAGCTTGTAGTTCAGGTACATTTCTTTAGATTTCAACTGCGACTCTGCACAGCCTTGAGGGCATATCTTAATACTTGTTCAGTACTGACAACACTCCACTGCCCAGCACTGGCACGGCAAACGCTCCGGGAAGTTCTGCTGGTGAAAAAGACGCGATGCCCCCCACAAGGGAGGGGTTTAGGGTTTTGGGCTTCGGGGGTTTTCAGTAGTCAGGGTGTGGAGAGTTGAGAGGTTGGGGGGCTTTAAGGTTTGGGGTTTACCAACATTTTGGATTTGGGGTTTCAAGTCCGAGTTTCTAGAACTTAGATGGTTGAGGGGAGCATGCAGGGGTTTAGGTTTAGGGGCTGGGTGTAAAACATTCCTGAGGCCTCTAACCTGCAGCCCCGAGGCAGAAAGGGGGTTTGGGGGGTGAGGATTTAGGTACTCCATGTTATTACACATGTCGCCTTAGCAATGGTTTTAGGGTTTAGAGTGAAGCCACACCTTCCCAGTCTTGCCTTTCGAAAAGCATGGGCAACTGAGGCATGAGGCACTCTCAACTAGACCCTAGAGCCTAAACCCGAAAGCTTGAAGCCTAAAACCCAAACCCTAAACCCTTGGCCCTAAGCCCGACACCCCCCCCCCCCCTCCCCAAAGCCCTAAGCCTTACACCACCGTAAGCCCTAAGCCACACGAACCCTAAACCCGGAAACCCTAAACCCTAAACCTTAAACCCTAAACCCTAAACCAACTTTGAGGCCCAGCTGCCGGTAACGTAGTCGCGGCGGCCCAGCTCGTTGCAGAAACGCTCGCCATCTGCGTTGATGACCAATCCACCTTAGGGTTTAGGGTTTAGGGTTTAGGGTTTAGGGTTTAGGGTTTAGGGTTTAGGGTTTAGGGTTTAGGGTTTAGGGCTCAGAGTTCAGGGTTTAAGGTAAGTAGGGTTAGGAGTATGGCAGCTGTACATATTACTCCATTTAGTGTACTTATAACCCTACGTATAACTGCCCATGAACCTCAAAACAGGATTGTCTACAGGGTTTCGGGTACAATGCCGTGAGGCGCCCTAAACCCTAGACCCTAAACCCTAAACCCTAAACTGGCCCTAAACCCTAAACGCTAAACCCTAAACCCTAAACCTTAAACCCTAAACCCTAAAGGTTCTGGGGGAACCTTTGAATGGAAGGTGCCCTGCTGGCTTTCCTTGGTTTAATGGGAGACCAAAGAAACTTACCCCTAAAAGGGTTTAGGGTTTAGGGGTTTAGTGTTTAGGGTTTAGGGTTTAGTGTTTAGGGTTGAGGGTTTAGGGTTGAGGGGGTACGAGCACTACTAGGCATGCAGGCAGAGGCAGGCACGTTTCTCACAAAGAAGACCCTATGTGTCTATGTCGCGATGTTCCCCTTCTTCAACAGTCCTTACAAGGAATTCAAGTACCCCCCCCCCCCCCCCTAATTATAATCCCCATTCAAGACTGCTAGTATAAGGGGGAACATCCCTAAACCCTAAACCCTAAACCCTAAACCCTATTGCGAGTCTGGGCAGCGGTCCGGGACTCAGCGGACCCCACAGGCCCTTGACCCCAAGCCTTAGCTGCTAGAGCTTGCGTATTACACCCCAACCTCTAATTACCCCCCCGCCCCCCCCAAACCACCCCAAGCAATGAACCACTCAACCCAACCCCCAACTCCTAAACCCCAGGCAGCCCTAAATCCTAAACCTCAGACCTCAAACCCTGAACCCCAAACCCTAAACCCTAAACCCTAAACCCCAAACCCCAAACCTAAAACCCAAAACCCCAAACACTAGCTTGAAGCAGCCGCGGCCACCCACACCGCGCAGGGCCTCGGCGGCCAGGAACCTTTTTGGCTTTCAAGGTCTGAGGGTTTAGGGTTTAGGGTTTTTAGGGTTTAGGGTTTAGGGTTAGGGGAAAGGATTTCGGGTTTAGGGTTAGGGTTCAAAAGGTTTAGGGTTTAGGGTTTAGGGTTTAAAAGGTTTAGGGTTTAGGGTTTATTGGGCCCTTAAACGGGGACCCCTTAAGGCCTGATATACCCCAGAAAACCCAAGGGCCCATACTTCAGAACCCTGTGAAGAAGGTAAGGTGGGGGACTATATAACTGCCCTTAGACAAGGGCCTAGGGCCTTCGGGCTGCAGGGGTTTTGGAGTATGGCAGGGCTTCGGGGGGCTTTAGGGAGCTTAGGGTTTAGGGTTTTGGGCTGTAGGGGGTTTAGGGTTCAGGGTTTAGGGTGGCTTAGGGGTTTTGGGGATTTTGGGTGTTAGAGGTTCAGGCCCTGAAGCCCAAAACCCCAAACCTTAGGGTCTGAGAGGGTTTTTTCTGCGGGGGGAGGCGGGGTTCGGTGGTTCAGGGGGTTCAGGGGGTTCAGGGAGTTTAGGGCTTGGGGAGATCAGGGGGTTTAGGGGGTTTAGGGGGTTTTGGGAGTTTAGGGGGAAGCTGAGGGGTTTGGTGCGGTTTAGGGTTCAGGGGATTGGGGATTGGTGGGTTTTGGGGGCGGGGGGGGGGGGGGGGTTAGCGCGGTTTTGATTTCTGGCTTGAGGGGTTAGGAGTTCGAAGGGTTTCGTGTGGTTTAGGGCTCAGGGTCTTTAGAGGTTTGGAGTTCAGAGGGTTAGGGCCTTTGTGTTGCTTAGGGCTTTAGAGGTCTCGGGGGCTGGGGGGGGGGGGGGGCGGGCGGTTTAGGGCGGCGGGCGGCGACAAGTCTTCTTGCCCACTTTCAGCTTCGGCTTGGAAAACTGTCCTGTTGCTCACAAGTAGCTCGGGAAATCGGCTTGCCCCCACATCAGGCCAGTGTCGCTGGGGCAGTATTCACCGTGAATAGCCAAGAGCGGAGATGATCCACGCAGTGCTGTTTGCCAGCTTCTTCGCAGCATCATATGGACAACCCCAAACCCTAAACCCTGAACCCTGAACTGAACCCTAAACCCTAAACCCAGAACTCTAAGCCCTAAACCCGAAACCCTGAACCCTACACCCTAAACCCTAAACCCTTCACCCTAAACCCTTCGGTCTTAGGTCATTTAGGATTTACCGTCCGGGGGATCCAGCGGCTGGGCCTTGCAGGGTTGCGGGGTTTAGGCTTCTTCGTGATGTGAGGTTTTGTGGTTTCAGGCTCTTCTGCATAGGTTCACCCAGAGTCCTGAAACCCTAAACCCCAAACCCTAAATAACCCTAAACCCCAAACCCCAAGCCCTAAACCCTAAACCCCAAACCCTAAACACCAAACCCTAAAATGCCAAAAACAGCCATCTGCCCAGCTGCTTGATCTTCGCCTCCGGATCGTCAGGCTCAACAAGGCCGGTAGGATGGACCTGACAGGGTTGAGGGGTTTGGGGTTTAGGGTTTGGGGTTTCGGGTTTGGGGTTCAGGGTTTAGAGTTTGGGGGTGTAGGGTGGTCGAGGCCCCCGCCCCCCCCCCCCCCCCCCCCAGCTGGAGTTTGGGGTCTAGGCGCACCCAGAGTTCACAATACCACCCCCCGCCCGCCGACCCGAAACCCGAAACCCGAAACCCAAAACCGGCCTCCCAGTGTGAAGCCTTCTGCCCTCAAAACCCACCCAAAGCCCGAACAGGTTGGAAATCCTATTCCTACATGGGGGTTTCCGAAATTAGGGGGGGTTAGGGTTGAGGGTTCAGGGTTTAGGGGCACCTTATTGGGTCCTTAGTATAGCGGAACTCTACTAATTGGGGGATCATCGAGGGTTGTATAACCCAAGCTTATCCCAAATCAACCCGAGATGACGCTATGTTCTTCGCCACCTTAACCCGAACCCCTAAACCCCAAACCCTACAAGCCCTAAACCCTTAACCCTAAACGTCATAAGCGACACAACCCCCTAAGACCCAGACCCCGCAGCTATACTGAACTTGGCACCCTTGCCAAAATTATATATTTGAGCTGTTCCTTAGATTTAAAGCTGTTCCTCAGAGATTCTAGCAACCAACAAGATTCTAGTAACCAAAAAGAAAAAACTGCTTCCGAGTAATTTTATGGAAGTTGCCTGGACCCACTCGAGGTCGATAGAGCGGGCGCCGATCGCCTCGCCCATCTTGATGCCATCGCCTCTTTCTTTCCCAAAAGAGCCCTTGAAAGCTCCAGGAACTAAGGGCTGTACTCTTTAAATCGTTCATAAGACCCCTATCATAGTTTAAGTTGTGCTTTTTTAGATTAAAGGGGGGTTCTTTTCTTGAGGAGCTCTTGAGGGTTTCAGCCGGGGGGGGGGGGGGAGGGGCTTGAGGATTTCAAGGGGAGGGGGAGGGGTGCAGGGATCATCTAAATTGTTGACCTTTTTTTGGCACCCTAGACCAACAAATATATATATATATATATATATATATCGAGAGAGAGAGAGAGAGAGAGAGAAGGAAGAGAGAGAGAGAGAGCGAGAGCTTTAGGGCTCAGGGCCGTTTAGGGCCAGGGAGCCCCATTTCAAAAGGGCCATTGTAGGGGGCCACTAGGACTCCGAAACCTTCTATGCCCTTATGAGCGAGTTTGGAGTTTAGGGTGTTAAGGCCACAGCTTTGGGATTTTGCGTCTAGGCCTGTTTTTTTTTGGCGGTGGGTACTGATGGGGTTGAGGCTTTAGAGCTGGGTTGGGGCTGAGGGCACAGGGACATACCTAGGAGGTTGATTTGGGTAGCTAACAGCAGGGGGTCGCAAGCATGGTAACTATAGAATACTTACAACCCTATCCATAACTACCCACTCTAAACCCTAGTGAAACCCTTCGATACATATCATATACCGACCCACATCAACCTCCAAGTATACGAATCCTAAGCCCTAAGCCCTAAGCCCGAAGCCCTAAACCCTAAACCCCATTAGAATCCCCATTAGAATCTTCATTGAGGCTTCAACCCTGAACCCTTAGCCTGTGGTGTGGTCTCCGTTGGTGGTGGGGAGGTGGAGGAGGTCTGGCCGGTACCTGAAGATTCGGTGTGGGGGGGGGGGGGGTTAGGGTTTAGGGTTTGGGTTTAGGGGTTTAGGGGTTTAGAGATTTAGGGGTTTATAGGGGTTTAGAGGGGTTTAGGGGGGTTTAGGGGGTTTAGGGGTTTAGGGGTCTAGGGGTGCCCTGCATCCCGGAAGCCTCGACTTGAGGATTTCGGGCTCAGGCTTCTTTGGAGCTTCGGGATAGGAGCTTAGGGCTTCGAGTTTCAGGGCTTAGGACTGAAAGTTGGGAGTTTAGAGTTTAGGGTTTAGGGGTTTAGGGTGTAGGGCTTCGAGTTTCAGGGTTGAGGACTGACAGTCTAGAGCTTAGGGCCCCTCCGGGAAGCACTTCGTCGGATAAGCCCTTGGGGAAACTCCAGGCAAACTCGGTCCTTGGGCCCGACGCCCTTAAAGTCCGAAAACCTCGGCCCCCCTATATGCATCACTGCTTCAGAACCATTGGGACAACTCACCCTAAACCCTAAACCCCAAACCCCAAACCCCAAACCCTAAACCCCAAACCCCAAACCCCAAACCCTAAACCCTAAACCCTAAACCTTGAGAAGAAGGCTGCGAGGCACTTGGCCAGCAGGGAGTCCTCGGTGAAGTCGGCACCAAAGCCGCCTGGACAGGCTGCAGGGTTAGGGGGTTCAAGGGTTTAGGGTTTAGGGTTTATGGCTTAGGGTTCAAGAGTTTAGGGTTTAGGGTTGATGAAATAGGGTCCAGGGTAAGGATTACGGGTTTGCACAAGGGGGAATTGGGGTTCAAGGGTTTAGGTTTTAGGGTTTTGGGTTCAGGGCTTGGGTTTCAATGGTCTCAGGGCCGCTAGCATGCCCACAGTGCCGGGGTTCAAGGGTTTTGGAGTTCCCTGGGACCCTCTTTACCTACAGTTTTATGGGTTGTGTCTTTTAATGAAGCGGCAGTTACTACTAAATTTTAGTGCAGGGTTTAGGATTTTACCTGCAATTTTATGGGTTATATCTACTAATTAAGTGGCGGTTACTACAATATTCAAGCAGGGTTCAGGGTTCAGGGCTTAGGGTTTAGGATGTGCAGGGTGTGGGGCTTTAGCCGTTGCATCCCGTAACTCTGAAGTCTTGGGGGTTTAGGGTTTAGGGTTTGGGGTTTAGGGCTTCGGGTTCCGCATTCGTTGAAGGAGGTTTGGGAGACACCCTAATCCCTTCCCCCTAATATTAAAGGGGGGGGGGGCCCCCCCCCCCCCCCTTTTAAAATTCGAAATGTGTTTTTAGTATTAGGGGGTGTTTTTATCGAAATGTCATAATTCGTGAGACTTCAGGGTTCTCAAATAGTCAACTTAAGACAGAGAGACAGAGAGACAGAGAGAGGGGGAGAGCTCAACTCTCGCAGCACAGCAAGGCTCAGACAGAGCCACTGAGTCTGCCAAAAGACGGGCCTCTGATTAAACCCTGAGCCCTAAACCCTGAACCCTAGACCCCCAACCCTAAACCCTCTGAGGGTTTTATTGGTGTTGAAGGATTTCTTGGAGGCCTGAACCACCCCCCTAATTCGAAATGGGGTTTAAAAGGCGGGCTCGGTTTCGGCAGGATTTTCCGGAAAGTATTTTTAGTATTAGGGGTACCTTTAATAAAAGGGGGAAGCGATTAAACCTGACCCCTGAAACCAAGACACCATAACGAAACCCCCCTAAATCTCTTGGCATAGCCCAGCGACCGGCTTACAGGAAAGGTACCCTTCTTTGCCAGGGGCACATCTTGTTCAGCTCCCGCGAGATGGGCCGGCTCGCGAAACCCCAGCAGTTCAGCTCGGCCATCAGGTCGCAGCCCATCAGAAAACTTCACACCACCTGCAGATTGTTCTTGCATTTCGAGTACAGAGCATCTGCGTTTTTTCGTTCACGTCCCTCATGGTCGCCGAGGCAGAAGCCGAAATCGAGGTCAAGGAACAGCCACGCTGTCCAGAATTTAGGGTTTAGGGTTTAGGGTTTAGGGTTGCGTTTCGGAGGGCTTCATGATTCCAGTCTTCAGGCAATACGCACACATCTAGAGCCCAGACCCTTTTTCAACCCTAAACCCTCAACCCTAGACCCTAAACCTCTCTTCGGCGTGTTGAACCCTCAACCTTCCGCCTGCGTGTGAAAGCAGGATGCTCCTAGCCTGCCACCCACGGTTTTAGGGGTTTAGGGTTTAGGGTTTAGGGTTTAGGGTTTAGGGTTTAGGGTTTAGGGTTTAGGGTTTAGGGTTACCTTACCGGTGGTTAGCAGGGAATGAGGGAATGAGGTACCCTATATCCCCCTATATATACCCCTTAAGGGATCTTCTTGGGTACTTCATTCCCTCATTCCCTACTAACCAACAGTAAGTTACATGGAGATTCATGTGTAAGTAGGGTTGTAAGTATAGAAACTATACTTCTAACAATACTGAGGGTACTTAGAACCCTAATGTGTAAGTAGGGATGTAAGTATAGGAACTAGACTTACTACCCTACTGAGGGTACTTAGAACCCTACTGATAGCTACCCATAAACCTTCAACTAAGGTTTAGGGTTTAGGGTTTAGGGCTTAGGGTTTAGGGTTTAGGGTTTAGGGTTTAGGGTTTAGGGTTTAGGGTTTAGGGTTTAGGGCTGAGGCCCTGAAGCCCTGCCTGTGGCCAGGATCACCGGGCCCTCCTCAGTGAAGTCCTTCCCTGGAGGGGGGCGCCGGATTCAGGAGTCTGGCTTTGGGGTTTAGGGTTTAGGGTTTAGGGTTTAAGGTTTAGGGTTTAGGGTTTAGGGTTTAGGGTTTAGGGTTTGGGGTTTGGGGTTTGGGGTTTAGGGTTTAGAGCTTCGAGGTTGTAGGGCTTTAGGGCTTATAGGGCCTAGGGTCTTCGGTTCTTGGGGCCTTAGGGTCCACACTGCGGAAGATGCCGAAGTATGATGGTAAGGAATGTTCTCTTAGTAGCCCAGTAACCATATTATCATAAGGGCACCCTTTTTTTGGGGTGGTTACTTTATAAGGGCACCCATAACCAAAAAGAGGGTAAAGGGTACCACTAGGCTACAAAGTTCTGTAAGTCAGGGCTACCGGATTCTTGGATTCTCTGGGTTAAGAGGTGTTCTACTGTTCTAGCTCTGCTCGTTTGCTTCTGCTTCTGTGGGCTGTCTCTGCGCAGATGGGGGTTGATCTGGGTGGTTTGGGAACTAGTTCAACCCCTATCCAGTAGCTTGGGGGGAGTTAAGGGTTCACCTTTGGGAGTTTGTAGGGATTAGAATACTCCAAAAAGGTTAAAGGTTTCCTGCTCTACTACTAAGTAGTTAAGCAGCAGGCATGAGTAAGATCGCCCTAAATTGGCCCGACTGCTGTTGTTGAGACACCGCCGGCTCACCCCAAACCCAACAGCCGTAAAACTCCGAAAGCACTTAAACCCCTAAACCTACCCTAAACCCTCACCCCTCAACCCTATATGTACTTCTAAACCCTAAACACTATATAAGACCAAAACCATTGGAGGGTCGCGTGCGCCTTTCTTCTCGTAGGTGACGCCGCACACGGCGCCGCTCTTGGTGAGGAGCTGCTTGACCTTCCCAACTCGCTGGGATTAGGGTTTAGGGTATAGGGTTTACCCCATAAACCTTGCAAGCACTAAATTCTTGGGGACCCTATTTACCTACAGTTTTATGGGTTCAGGGTTTAGGTTGTACCTACTAACTTTAGGGTAGTTACTACAACATGTAGGTAAAAAAAGGGTCCCGGTTGTGCCAGGGGCTCTGCAGGGTTTGCCCTGCATGCACCAACCCTCTTGGCTGAGTAGGTAGAGCAAGTTGGGTAATTGGAATTGTAATGGGGCTTTTTTTCGGGATACAAAGCAGACTTGCTAAACCCCAAACCCTAAACCCTAAACCCTCAAAGGCAATTCCAAGTGCATGAACCAACTCTTCGGCCAGAGTTAGGCGGTTTATAGGGGATAGGATTAGGGGGACCCTTGGGGATATACTGCGCCGGGCCGATAGTTCGACCCAGCAACATCTTGGGGTTCTTACACCCATACCCCGCCCTCTTCCCCATAGACTCCTGACACAATGGGGCTGGGGGCCTCCTCCGGAGCTACTATAGTACTATATTTTCAAAACGGGGTATTAATTTCTCCGCTAGCAGGCGTAGGGAAAACGCAACTTTTCGGCACTGCGCTACTCCGCGGGAGCCTTCACTGTCTGCATGCCATCCAACATGTGCCGTGGGTCGAAACTTTCGGCCCGGGGTGTAGACCCTCTGAATAAGCTCCCTGTTTACGAGAGCCAGAACAAGGTTCAGAAGGGGTGCCCTTTGAAGGGTCCCCCTTATCCTACCTAGGAGTTTAGGGCTTCCGGGTCTGGGGGGGGGGGGGTTTGGCTCCCCAGGCATGGTTTAGGGTTTACGTACGGTTTAGGAATTGGGGTTAGGGTTTAGGGCTTAGGGCTTAGAGCTTAGGGTTTAGGGTTAGGGTTTAGGGTTTAGGGTCGTGGTTCTTCAGTTTGTTGTTGACACCGGGGGGGGAGGGGAGGGGCTCTGGAGACCCCTGGAACACAGGTCCTACACCCCAACCCCCTGCCCTCCCTCCCCCCCCTTCCCCCTACAGAACCCTAAATCCTGAATCCTAAACCAAAACCCTAAACCCTATCCCTAAACCCTAAACCCTAAGCCCTAAACTTCCCTAAACCCTAAACCCTGAACCCTAAACCCTAAACCCTAAACCCGAGTCGCACCGCACCTTGGCCTTGTTGATGATCCGGGCCAGGTCGCTACGCTCAGCGATCTTCCTCAATCCAGCTGTTTGAGCTTCTGGTGCCCAAAAGGGCTTAGGGCTTAGGGTTTAGGTTTTAGGCCAACTACACCCTTCATGAAGAGATGCACCCTAACCTTAGTTGCTGGGCTTTCTATTTCGGTAGGATTATTTATGCCCCGTAGTGAAGAAATACACCTTAACCTGGTAGCTACGTACCCTGGGCCGAAAAAGGGTAACCTTTCGCCTTTCGATTGTGGTAGGATATTTCCTGCCCCAAAAGGTTAAAGGTTACCTACTCAGCTGCGTACGAAGTTAAACTCGCATAGAGGGGCCCTAGTTGTGATTTAAGGCAAACTGCTCCTAAGGTACCTCACCCGAAAGCGGATTATTCTTTGCGACCAGTGTTCTGACTGGTTTAGCTGGTTAATCATTATTCTTAGTTTAAAAAAGCTTGCTGATTCTTAGCTATTATTTCATGATGAGTTTTTGATAATGACTAACTATTGCTAGTTCGTACTTGCTGACTGTTGATTCTGAATGACTACTTATGCCGTTTACATGAAATATATATATATATATACATATATATGTATAGTAGTAAGCCGCTGATCGGCAACAGTCACGACTGCCTTCTCCCCGTGATGGGGCCGTGGAACACGTAGCCAACATGACCCGCACGCAACCTCCCAGACCCAACGATTCTTACAGCTTCTTTCAGAAAGATTTCGATGGCCTTCTGATCGCTAAAACACACTAAGCCCCAAACCCTAAACCCTAAACCCTGGTACGGCCCAGTAGATCGACGCTTCAAACTGTGGCTCCTAGTCAAAACGGCGTAGCACCAGCACAGAACCTTACCCATGTCCCCTCAAGCCACGTGTTTGTCGGGCTTACTCTTTAGGGTGTTGGGTTTAGGGACTCATTTAAGACATGAAAGGCTATACTAGAAGGTGTTCTAGTGTTCTACCTGGAGATATATAACCTTCAAAGTAAGACTGTCCATGTTTCCAAAGACTGTCTGGTGTTTGGTTTTGGGTGCCGGCAGGGCGCTCAACCATCTGGATCAGGGCGTAGGTGATGGTCATGCCTGCAGACAGGGCTTTGTACATGGAGGTTAAAGGGTAGTTAGAAGTAGGGTTAAAAGTACCCTCACGAGGGTTAGAAGTAGAGATACCATACTTGTAAGGTTTGGAGGCCAGCCCCACCCATAAAGCCCTGAGCTCCTGTACCCACCTCCTGGATAGCAGCTAACATGCAAAGCTGTTTCATTGTTTTACATCCGTATACTGGTACCTTAAAAGGTCCCCTCATCCTTACTTATGTATGTATATATATATATGTATTTATGTATATACAGAAATGTACAAATACATGCATACATATGTACATGCACATATGAATATGCATATTGACATGCATATGTGCCTCTATTTCCCGACAAAACATGAAACCCTAAACGACCACCTATGGTCTCTTGCGTCCTTTGTTGCACAGGTGTTGGGAGAAACCCTAAAAGAGCCATGAACTTAAACCATAGATCGCACCCTGTGATATTCTAAGGAATATCCCTAAACCCTAAACCCTAAACCCCATACCCAAATTCAGGGGTATTGCAGTCCCTGGGCGTAAAGGGCCCAAGTAGCCGGGCCTGGGAAGCGCTCCTTGCCGCGGTGCGTTCGAGGCGCGGAGTGGCCGCCGAGGCGCGCAAGCAGGGACATGTCCTGCGGTTTAGGGTTTAGGGTTTAGGGTTTGGGGTTTGGGGTTTGGGGTTTGGGGTTTGGGGTTTGGGGTTTAGGGTTAGGGTAAACCCGGAACCCTAAACCCTAAACCCTGTTTAGGGTTCAGGGGCCATGTTCTCTGGGCTGTCCCCCTTCCAACCCCTCGCAAAAGATTCCTAAATATGATCCTCAAAAAAGCCAGAAACGGATATGTCCCCAAAGATTGGGGGAGGGGAGGGGGGAAAAGTACTTTGTTTATTCATTAGGATAGGAACCTGATACATGTCGGTTGCAAGAACCCCCCCTCCCAATCTGAGAATTGGCCGGGGTTTAGGGTCTAGGGCTTAGGGTGTAGGGTGAGTTTACAAACAGGCTATCTTTGACCATGGGCGGAGGTACATCTAAGCCACTCTCTAGCTTAATAAAGTGCTTAACCCTAAACTCTAAACCCCAGGATACCACAAACAGAAAGTACCTCTGCGGTGAGGTTTTGTTCAAGTTGAGGAGTTGGGCTTCAGTGGGGCTTCGGGTCTAGGGACCTCAAAGCCCCAGCTAAGGCCTCGAAAGCCCGAAAACCCCAACAAACCCTGGAGCCTTAAAAGCCTGAACACCCTAAAAGAACCTAGACTAGAGCCTGAAAAGCCTTAAAACCCTACTAAACCCTAACCCCACAACCCTCTGCCCTGAATGCCCTGACTGTCCAGATCGAACTTGTCCACGAGCCAGTCCACGTCGCCGCCGCTGTTGCCGCAAAGCACCTGCCAGCCCGTCGGGAGTTGGGCTCCGGTTTAGGGCTCAAGCTGTAGGGTTTTAGGGGTTTAGGGCTTTAGGGTTTTAGGGTTGTTGGGTTTAGGGTTTTAGAGTTTCGGGTTTCGGGTTTGGGGGGGGGGGGGGGGGAGGGGGGGAGGGGGGGAGGGGGGGGAGGGGGGGGGAGGGGGGGGGGGGGGGGAGGGGGGAGGGGGGGGAGGGGGGGGAGCGGGGGGAGGGGGGGGAGGGGGGAGGGGGGGAGGGGGGGAGGGGGGGGGGAGGGGGGGAGGGGAGGGGGGAGGGGGGGGGGGGAGGGGGGGGGGGAGGGGGAGGGGGGGGGGGGGAGGGGGAGGGGGGGGAGGGGGGGGGGGGGGGGGGAGGGGGGGGCTGTGCCAGAAGCCGTGGACAACCCCAGTGTTGGCGAGGTGCACTTGCCCCGCCGCCATTTCGAGCAAACGATTCCGCTTTGCGATGTGCAAGGTTTTGCCCTAAACCCTAAACCCTAAACCCTAAACCCTAGACCCTAAACCCTAAGCGCTAGACCCTGAACCCTAAGCGCTAAAGTTGTTGCTACGGCGGCGGTCGAACTGAGGAAATCTCAAGGACGACCTTGAGCCTAGCTTAGGGATTAGGGCTTCAGGCAGAAGTTACATCTTTATGGGTTACAGGGTTATGTAAGGGTTAGGACCCAAAGAAACTGAACGTTGTTTGAAGCCCTAAACCCTAAACCCTCAGCCCTAAGCCCCAAAACCTAAACCCTAAACCCAAAACCTAGCGCCCCCCCCCCCCCCCCCTTTACCGCGGGATCCCAGTGAAGGGGCTTGTACAAAGCCAGGCCCGAGGATGATGGTCTTGAGAGATAATTCGTGCTATGGGCTTTTAGGGTTTTATGGGGTTGTTGAGGTTTTTGGCTGTTATTTGTGTATGGCTTTTAGGGCTTTTGGGGTTGTTGAGGTTTTTGGCGGTTTCTTGGTTTTGCTTTTTGTTGTTTTGAAGTTTGTTTTTTTGAGGGGGGGGGTTAGGTCTTATTGGGATGAGAAATTGCATTCTCCCTTAATCACAGGTTTCTGGTTTGGAGGGTCGGGGGACTCGCCAGAATCCCTAAACCCCGGAAACCCCAACAACCCTAACAACCCCCAAAGCCCCCCCCCCCCCCCCCCCCCACAGCCTGACACCCCTAAACGCATGCGTTCCCTTTCCTACCCCCCTCTATACTACGCCCCCTACGTTCCCGCCATAACTAAGACTATTTGGGGACAATTAAACCTAATATAAGGGCCTGAGTAATTAGAATGGTATTGGGGGGGGGGGGGTTTAAGTCGAATTACAAAGGGGCCACAAGGGAATATTAGTAGCATTTATTCCGACCCCTGTAGCAGAGGTGAACTTAGGGCGCGTAGCCCTAAACTCTAAACCCTAAACCCTGAACCCTAAACCCTAAACCCTAAACCCTAGTGTACAGAGGGGGGGTAGCAGGGAAACCCATGATAAACCCCGACAATCAGCCCCACTTCGCCTTCACCAGCTCGGGCTTCTTTGCGCCACCCTGGGTTTAGGGTTTAGGGTTTAGGGTTTACGGGTTTTAGGGTTTAGGCCATTTTGGGATCCTGATCCTGATTTAGGGCATACTCCTTCGATTCGGGGCATTGACAACTGGGGTTCTTTGGGAGTAAGGAATATTCCAAATACCATTTAAGGAACCCTGTTCTATCTTCTAGGAATATTCCTAAACCCCGAAACAATGCCCCTAAACCCTACACCCAATTCTATTGAAGGAAGAATATTTCTTAATTTGGGTGGGGGGGGGGGGGGTATCGGAGTGTCTGGGTTGTTCTGCCTCTAGGCTAGTTACGTCTTTGGGCTAAGGATTAAGGGGATTAGAGGGCTTGAGGGAGTCTGGGGGGTTTAGGGTTGAGGAGTTGGGGTTTATTGCTTCGGATTTGGGAGAAGGTTTATAGGGTTTTGGTAGACTTGGATGTCTGGAGTTATAGGGCTTCGGGTTTAGATATATCTGCCAACTAGAGTGCGACAGGTGGGATTCGGGGGTCTGTGACCAAAATAACTAACTTGAGTCGCACAGCCAAATCGCGTGAGTGATTTCACCTGTTTGTTTGTGTGCTAGCAACTAAACCCTACAACCCTAAGCCCCAAACCCTAAATCCGAAACCCTAAACCCTCGCCCTAAAACCTAACCCTAACCCTAAACCCCTAAACCTAAACCCTACACCCCCCAAACCCCAAACCCCCGAACCCCAAGCCCTGGGCCCGGGTTTCCTAAACCCTAAACCCTAAACCCTAAACCCTAAACCCTAAACCCTAAACCCTAAACCCTAAACCCTAAACCCTAAACCCTAAACCCCTGTCTAAGTTTCGAGGACTCTTGGAGGGACCCATGTGGGGGCTTACGAAAATAAGGGGCCCCTAGTATAAAACGCCCAAAATAGTAGGATTCCCTTATAGTAAGAACCCCAATAAGGCACCCCTTATTTCGGGACCCCGAATATGAACCCCAAAATAGTAGGAGAACCCCAATAAGGTACCCCTTATTTCGGAAACCCCCCATGTACTTCTACAAGGACTCTGCAAGCAAGCAAGCTGCACACTGTACAGGGCAGTCGGATTGAGGGCCCCTTCTTAGGGGTCCTTACTGTCCCTGAATTAAGTTTAGGGAGTCGGGTTTCCTACTAATTGCTGAAGAACCACCCCCCCCCCCAAAAAAAAAAAAAAAAAAAAAAACAACAAACAACTTCCTTTTCAGGGCAACATTGGGATTGGTGTCTCTCTTTGTTTTTTTTTTGGGGGAGGTCTTTTTACTTCCTTAACAGGGCAATCTTGGGATTACCTAAACCCTAAACCCTAAACCCTAAACCCTAAACCCAAAATAGTAGTTAGTAGTTTCAGGGCAGCCTTCAGCGTATCCGAGGTAAAGAGCTCCACGGTGTCCTCCACCTCCACTGAGAGTGGCTTTATCCGCCCCCCTGATTCTTAGTAGGGTTCAGGGTTCAGGGTTTAGGGTTTAGGGTTTAGGGTTTAGGATGGTTTAGGGAGAATGAAGTGCCCGACATGATCCCTTCAGGGGTATATATGGGGGGATGCGGGGTACCTCCTTCCCACATTCCCTACTAAGAACCAGCAAGTTCTGACTTGTGGAGGTCTCTAAATCAAGGCTCCCAGGACCTCATGAGAAGAGTGCTGTATAGCAAAGAAAGATGCCGAAAAAGGGGCTTGGGTTGAGGGTTCAGGGCGGCACACTTCCCCGCTCTCCGCTAAGCAAAGTACAAGACTATCAGACGCACCCCAGGAAGCCTGTACATTTTAAGGCTTCCCATCTTCTACGTTAAGCCCTAAACCCTGAATTTTGGGGGGCAACAGCCAGAGATGCATGATACCCCTAAACCGCCTGGTTCTTAGTGCGGGGTGGGGAAATCCGCTACCCTACACAATCCCTAAAACATATAGGGGGATCCCTCATTCCCTACTAAGAACCAACAAGTCAACCCAGCTCGATCCCAAAGGATGCGGACTTAGTCTGGCGGGTGGGTTTTGGGTTTTATGGTTTAGTCGGCTCCTCAAGTAAAGTCTACGAATTCTGAGGTGTGTTTCAAGAGTTGCTGTAACCAATAGCCAGGGCAAGCTTTCAAATCGTGGTCCTTTTTGGAGCGGGTCCTGAGACAGGAGGCTCCCTGCAATAGGTACCCCAAAAAAGCCCTAACTTCGGCCCCCAGAGCCCCATACACCCTTATTGACAGGAAGCCCTAAACCCTAAACCCGAAACCCTTATGCCATATAAGGATCCAAATTTATGATTTAAGGTCTATATGCCTTCACTAAGCCTGTCCTTAACTAGCTCAATTATCCCTAAATAGCCTTAAAAATTGGGGGGAACTAAGGGGGGGTAGTATAGATGGGGGTGGTAGAGGAACCCATAAGGTAGTGGGGGGGGGGGGTAGTAGGAGAACCCATGACACATCCTTCGCCGCCTTCTTCTCCTTCTGCGTTCGGGTCTCGGCGCCGTTGATGCCGCTGGTCGCCTGGCACAGTCACAGTCGCCCTAGACCCTAAACCCTAAACCCTGAACCCTAAACCCTAAACTTGAACCCTGAACCCTAAACTAGGTGCTGTCCGAAATTGATGGGTTTAGGGGCCTCTAAGGCCTGGGACTGAAGTGAGGACCCTTCTCCGGGATTCTGGGGTGTCAGGAGAAAGACCACTTCTGGGTTCAGGGTTTAGGGTTTCTAGGGTTTGGGGCTTCTAGGGTTTCGGGTTTAGGGTTTAGGGTTTAGGGTCAGGGTTTGGGGTTTGGGGTTTAGGGTTTCGGGTTCCAAAAAAAAACGTAGGGCGTAGGGACTACCGAAGAAACATGTGCGAGGCAGAATCGAGTCCCTTCCACTGGCCTCTCAAAAGCCCTGAGCCTAAACCTAAACCCTACAAACCCTAAACCCTACACCCTAAACCCTAAACCCTAAACCCTAAACCCTAAACCCCGAAGCCTTCGTGGAGTTGCCGCCGCAGAAGGCCGACTTGTCCACCAGCACCACCTGCAGAAAAATCTCCGGGTGTCTGGTGTGATGGTTTAGGGTTTAGGGTTCGGGTTTAGGGTTTAGGGTTTAGGGTTTAGGGTTTAGGGTTTAGGGTTTAGGGTTTAGGGTTTATTTAGGGTTTAGGGTTTAGGGTTTAGGGTTTAGGGTTTAGGGTTTAGGGTTTAGGGTTTAGGGTTACGTAGGGTTTAGGGTTCAGGGTTTGGGGTGTACCTGGAACTTTATTTACCTAGAGTTTAGTAGTAGCTACCCCTTTTGGGTGTGGCCCTTCAGGGCATTGAGCTCTTTGGCGTGTAGGGAGCTCGTTGGATAAATCTTGGGTTTAGAGTTCGTACTGGGCCGGTGTTGTTTTTGGGGAGACTGGCTTGAAGCGTTGTTCAAGCTCCAACCCGGACTCAGAAACTGATTCAAGACCTGAGGCCTTTGCATCTTTGCCTAGGGCACCAAGCATAAACCCTAAACCCTCCCAAATTATATATATATATATAGGGTTCTTAAGGGAGGGGAGTTCAAGGGGTACCCTAAACCCTAAACCCTAAACCCTAAACCCTAAACCCTAAACCCTAAACCCTAAACCCTAAACCCTAAACTCTAACCCTCCCCACTACTTCCTACGGCTCCTGAAGCTTCCCTAGGTACCTGCGCCCCATGAACCCCCCTCCCTTAAAGGACCCTATCATAAACAAAGTTGGGGTCCCGCTTTGGAGCTTGGGGTTTGGGAGCTTGGGGTTCTTTGGGGGTTTAACGCGGCGCAGTATCCCATTTCCCCGGAACCCTAGGCGCAGTTTTATCTGGAAGCCCAGTACTGCACCTCCCTGATAACAGAACTGCAGAACACCGTTGGTGCGAGTCTCCTGGGTTTCACTAGTTTATCCCGAAGAATTTAACCCTAGAAAGCCCTGAGTTCGAACCTGAAAAGCCTAGCCACCAGAACGGGTTCTCCATAAATTAATTGTTGTATTTCTCGGGGATCCTATGTTAATACGACTATTGGGGGTTATGCACCTAACACACACTAGATTTTAAAACCCTGCACCTGGACCCTAAGCCCTGAGCCCCAAACCCTGATGCCTTGCCACCCCACTCCATCACGGTATTGGCCGCAGAAACGCCTCTCCCAGTTGAATTGCGGCTGGGGAGAACATTGGTTTCAAGGGCTTCTGACTTCCTGTGGAAGATCTTGATAAGAACCCCAAGACCTCCCTCCCCACACCCCAAGAGTCTGCACGGAACCGCAAGCTTGTGGGAATTTGACGGCTTCCAGTCGACTGGCCCTCAAGCCATTCACTGCAGACCTGTGAACTCGGGGTTGGGATGTCTAGGGTATGTAGGGTTGAGGGTTGAAGGCAGCTCAACCGAAGCTGCGGAGGCTTTCCGCCTGTAGTTGCGAGGAATTCTAGGTTTTTCTTTCCCGAGCCGCCTGCCAGGCCACCTCCCACAACGATTGCCTGAGCCGCCATCTTCGCCTGATGTCGTCTCTGGGTTGTACTTGTCAGACCCCTTCTAGGGTACAGGTTGGGATGTTCCCCCTTAGACCAACAGTCCTTAATAGGGACTACGATAATCCCTATTGAGGACTGTTAGTATAAGGGGGAACATCCCAAGGTGTAGGGTTTAGGGTCCTAACCCCTAAGCCCTACTATAGTCATGGGGTCCATCGTCTTGGAGTGGTCAAACAGTCACTCTCATTCCGGAGTACAAGATGCTGTGAACCCTTGACCCTAAACCTTAAAGCAGAGGTGCGATACCCTGTCATATAACTTGATCTACAGGCTTGGCCCCTTTTGGGGGGGTTTGGGGTTTAGGGTGTAGAGTTTCAACCCTAAACCCCGTGTGGGGTCCTCAAAGGACGGTACATGTGAAGGGCTCCGAAGCCCTAAATGTCCCAAAAAGCCTGAAGCCCCGGCAAAGCCTGCAGGGCTTTACAGAAATCAGGGGTCAGGGTTCAGGGTTGAGGGCTTATGTTTCCAGCTGGAGGAATGGCAAGCCGTGCGGCGAGCAGAGCTGCGTAAGAGACGAGACTTTCACGGCACTGAGTTAAAATGGCTGCGACCAGGATGCTGCGGCTGCGGTTTAGTGCGTGGGGTTCGGGGGGCTTCGGGAACCGCCCGAAACCCTAAAGCTTGAACACCCCAAACCCCCTCAATCCGAGCCTGAGTCTGCGCTCAAGCCAACCTAAACCCTTAAAACCCTAAAACCCCTAAAACACTAAAACCCTAAAAACCCCAAGACCCTAAAACCCTTAAAACCCCAAAACCCTAACACCCAAAAACCCCAAAAACCCTAAGACCCTAAACCCCCCAAACCCTTAAAACCCTAAAACCCCAAAACCCTTACACCCCTAAAACCCTAAAACCCTAAAACCCTAAAACCCTAAAACCCTAAGACCCTAAGACCCCAAAACCCTAAGACCCTAAAACCCTTAAAACCCCAAAACCCTAACACCCTAAAACCCTAAAACCCTAAGACCCTAAAACCCCTAAATAACCCTAAAACCCTAACAGCCTAAAACCCTAAAACCCCAAAACCCTAAGACCCTAAGACCCTAAAACGCCAAAACCCTAAAACCCTAAAAGCCATAAAAACCCTAAAAACCCTAAAACCCTAACAGCCTAAAACCCTAAAACCCTAAAACTCTAAACCCTAACCCCCACCTAAGAGTTGGCTCAGGCTCAGGTGTTGTCAGGCTCAACTCCGATCGCTTTTTGTCCCCTCCCTCGAATCTCAATCTTTCCCCGCCCCCCGCCCCTGCCGAATGGGTTTAGGGTTTAGGGTTTAGGGCTTAGGGTATCTGTAAGTATTCCGATTCTAGTAGGCTTTCGTATACATCTGCGTATATGTACGTACCTGTATGTGTTTATACATGTCGTTATAGAACTAAATGTTGGGTACTAAGGGTGGGAGGGTGGGTGGCGGTTTTGTTACTAGGGGAAGAGGGTCTCACCTTAACACCCCTTAACCCCCAAACCCCTCGTTGGAGGGGTTTAGGGTCTAGTGGCTCAGGGTCAGGTCTGTACTTGCCTAAATCCTAAGCCCCAAACCCTCGCAATTTCAGGACAGGCCGTTCGGGGGTTGGAAATTCCGTGATAGCTTGGGGGATCCGCCGGAAATTACATGTAAGGGCTGTCGGGTTGAGAGCTTGAGGACCCGCATTTAGGGTTTCGGGTTTAGGGTTTAGGGTTTAGGGTTTAGGGCCCTAAACCCTAAACCCTTCAACCCTTAACACTAAACCCTCCCCCTCCACCATATGCAAACTTGTGCTCCATGTATAAAGCCCTCCAATGCCTACTCTAAACCACCATGCAAATTCCCATCGAATGAGCCCCGACATTGCCCACTCCAAGCGGTATTCTAGCATTCCGGTTTCGAGGACCCCACCTCACGCTAAACCTTAAACCCTAAACTCTAAAACCTGACCTCTAAACCCTAAAACACCCTAAACCCCTAAACCCTAAACCCTAAGCCTGAACCCTAAACCTCTACACCCTACACCCGAAACCCCTAAACCCCTAGACCCCTAAACCCCCAAACCCCTAAACCCTAAACCCTAACCCCTAACCCCTACACCCTACACCCTAAACCCTAAACCCTAAACCCTAAACCCCTGCGGCACGTCCTCTGGGTGCTGGAGACCCGTGCAGGCCTGCAGCACCTTTCAGGAGGCAAGGAATCCCGAGACCCAGGGGAAACCTAGAAATAAGAAGGGTTTAGGGTTTAGGGTTTGGGGTTTAGGGTTTAGGGTTTAGGGTTTAGGGTTTAGAGTTTAGGGTTTAGGGCTAGGAATAAGAAGGGTGCACTTTTGGGTTTTAAGGAGTGTAAGGGAACCCCACCCCTAAAAAAAGGAAACAAGGGCCTACTCCGGGTCCCAGGCTATTTGGTCTAGGCATCCAGAGACAACATGCGGCATGTGCGCACTAAACCCTAAACCCTAAACCCCAAACCCCAAACCCCAAACCCTAAACCCTAAACCCTAAACCCTAAACCCATTTTAGGGCTGAGGCTTAGGGCGTGGGTTGAGGATTTAGGGTTTAGGGTCTTGGGGTCGAGATATGACGTTCGTGAGGTGCACGGGTTATATGCCAGGTTTGAGGTATGGGCCCCATGTATGGGCCCTGCGTAATCATACCCTAAGCCAAGCGGCCTAGCCCCTAAACCCTCAACTCTAAACCCTAAACCCTAAACCCTAAAGCCTCAACTCTAAACCCTACTCTAAGAGCCCTAAGCCTCGCAAGCGTGCTCAGCTTCCCCCCAACATGGCCGCACAATGCACATTCAGGCCCAGGCTTCGAAAGAGGCTTAGGCTGGCACTTGAATAGCTGTTGTAGTCGGGTTTAGGGTTTAGGGTTTAGGGTAGTCGGAAATCAATGACTTTGGGGAATTAGGGGAAGGGTGGGGGGTGGGGGGGTGGGGGGGAGGGTGGAGGGGGCCAGGGGGCCAGGGGGGGGGGAGGGTGTGTGTCAGTTAAAAGGTGCTGAAAATTGTTTGTACGAGGATACTGAAAGGTACAGGGGAAGTGGTCGAGGAAGTCTGGGCGGCCCGAACGCTGAGGATGGTGGCCAAAGAGCCAGCCGCCGGCAACCTCCAAAGACCAGAGCTTGCCAAAGAGCCCAAAAGCCCCCGCAATTGGATAATGTAAGCATTGAATCCCTGTTGGGCTTTCAGAAGGGTTAAGTTAGGGTTTAAGGTTTAGGTATACAATGGTGTACAATGCTTAGAACCAGTCTACAATCTACAAACCAGGAGATGAATCTGAAGGTATGGGTTTGGGTCTATAGTCTGAATGTTTTGGTTTAGAAATGTTGCTGTGCGCCGATCTTGTCTCCGACTAAACCCTGAATCCTAAAGCTTTAACCCTTAACCCTACACCTGTTAACCCTGGGCTTACATTCCGTCCTTCGTGTGGCGCACGTGCCTCGTCTGGGTTCGGGAAAACAGGAAGAGTTGCTTCTCCCGCATCTTGCAGCTGTCTTTCGAATCGCGCACAGGTTTAGGGTTTAATTCGGGCTTAGGGTTTTTTAGGGATATTTTCCACAAGGACTGCTGCCTTGCGGGGGGTTGAGGGGGGGGGCCGCAGGCGACGCATTGCCGAAACCCCTCCCCGCAACAGAAACAAACCCTAAACCCTAAACCCTGAACCCTAAACCCCTAAACCCCTAAACCCTGAACCCTGAGCCTAAACCCTAAACCCGAAACCCTAAACCCTAACCCTACAACAGTTAGCCGCACCCCCCTTCGGGCCCCTGGCTCACTCTCGTCGTCGTCCCCATCTCGGTGTTCCACGAGCTGACCTTCAGGGTTTAGGGCTTAGGGTTTAAGGGTTGGGATTGGAGCGTCGCGGTTTTGGGAAGTTTCTGGGCATCAGGTGCTTCCAGGGCTAGACGCATCAACATTATTGTCTTAAAGTGTAAACTTTAAACAACGAACCAGAGCCGTCCGGCAGCCCGCATTCCCGCAACCCCTCCATAAGGTTCCGAAGCCCGACACCTGAGATAGCTGAAATTTACATCGCTTGCATCCTATACGGAAACAACAGACCAGCTGTATTAGCTGTGAAGTGCCAGCTACGCTGCATTTTCTAGCATTGTTTGCAATTCGATATTCTCGTTGAAGCCGTCTAGTCCCTAAACACGCCATAGTAATTCTAAGCACCCGGATTGCGTACGCAGCTTGTACCACTGTCCAGCAGGCTGAAAAGGCTGTGGTCGTGACAGGTCGTAACATGGTTTCAGTCAAACACTTCTGGGGCTTGATCAGGGCAACTTCAAACACGAGCGCGATGACTTTGACGTTCGCAAGCACCGTGGGTTACAGAGTATTCGAAGGCTGCTGTGGTTTACAAAGCTTCTGGCGGGAAATCTGCTGGAACCAGGAAGGAAGCGCTCGCAAGCGTGGCAGGCATCTTCTGCATATTATGCGAAGGTGGCGTGGGCACGCTTTGCTTCAAGTGCGAACGCCGTATGATTTACTAGAGTTTCGTGACCTAGGTAGGGTGCAGCTTTGGGCTTGCAGTGTCGGGCAACTACCCAGAGAGCCCTTGAAAACCTCAATTAAGAAATAAACCTAAAATGATATAGGTATCCTTCGTATGATGTAAGGTCTATTCCTGAATTGAGTAGACTGGGATCTTTGGGTACCAAGCCCCAAAATACCACAAATTTCAGCGGCCCTGTGGCATGGCGTCGAGGGGTCGGTCTTCGCTGCAATCAGCGGCACGTGAATGTCCATTGACCGGCAGGCAACAACCGTGACTTGCAATAGCAGTGTAAGATAGTGTAAGCCAGCTTGCTCGGAGACACCTGGGAAGCGTTGCTCCGCACACCCGAGGAGGGCAGTCGTCCAAGTTTGCAAGGATCGGGAAGCGCTCACATGCCCAGAGATTTCCCATACCCCTGAATTAAAGAATGAGGGCCCCTATCTGGTTTAAGGTATATTCCTTCATTAGGGGGTATTGGGCTCTACAGGTAGTCTCATCTTGAGGGGAGCCAAGCGTGGTTCATCGTGGGCTCATTGAGCGGTTGCCACAAACAACAAAACCCGCAAAGCCCCTCTGGATCCTAAACCCTATAAGACCAGCCCCGAAGCCTGTAGTTGCGGCTCATAGGTTTAGGGTGTGTAGGGTGAAGGGTTAATTAAGAGTTAGGATGTAGCATTGGTCGGCTGAATGTAGCGGTATGAAGACATGCCCACCCCAAGGCCACCCCATCACAACTCACAGCGAGCCAGCGGGAGCAAGCGCAAACTACCAAGCCAAAGCCGTTCCAAACACACATGTCGAACATGTTTAGAGGACGCGTGAGTCACTTTGGATTTCTTGGTCACTTGGGACACTTGGGACATTCGGGACGCTTGGGTCACTTGGGAATTTTGCACAGCTTGGGACACATAGGTCATATGGAACACTTGGGACACTGTTGGCAAACTTTTGGCAAAGCATCAAGAGCATGTGGAACACTTAGCACACTTGGGGCTTGTGGCCAGCGTGCGGCAAGTCGGACCGGAGCTATGGGGCTGGTCCTGGCAGGCAAAGGATACCCCGCAGTGTTTGTGCTGGAAACGGTCTGGTCCGGAGGGCCTTTTCATTGATTATGCTGTTCCCAAACGCCTTTCAAGTGCCTTCCAGAGGCCCTTCCAGTGGCTTGCTTCCATAGGAGAATACAATATAAGTGCTCAGCGACTGCGCTAGGCGACTCTAGCTCGGAGACATGTCAGGTGTGCGACTGCAACTGCGCACGTTTACCCCAACAAAGGTTGGCGGTGTGGCGGGCGTTCTGGGGGTTCCAGAGCTCGAACCGGAGGTTTTACGGGCCCCATCCCCCAATCCCACAAGGCTCTCTCTGTCTCTCACTCTCGCCCTCTCTCCCTCTCTCCCTCTCTCCCTCTCTCCCTCTCTCCCTCTCTCCCTCTCTCCCTCTCTCCCTCTCTCCCTCTCTCCCTCTCTCCCTCTCTCGCTCTTTCCCTCTCTGTCTGTGTACGTGTCGGGGTCTTCATACGTGTGCGCGACTCCTTGCTATCGTTTGATGTGCTTGCTTGTGTGTGTGTGTGTGTGTGTCCGCACGTCAGGCCCCTTACATTAACGAGCCAAAGCATCGGCCCAAATGGGTCCCTAGACCCTAAACCCTAAGCCGCTCTTGGGTTTTGATTCTACGTACACCAAACCACCCTCCCAAACCTTAAACCCTACACCAAACCCTGCACCCCAAACTCTAAACCCCACCCCCCCCACCCCCCCACCCCCACAAAAAAAGGAACAGTCCCAGCCGAAGCACAGAACTGTCCGGCCAAGCCGGTGATCAACTGAGCCGCAAAAGGCACCACGTCGTTCCTTGTACCCAGAGACGGGTTTGGGGTTTAGGGTTCAAATTTTGGGTTGTTTAGGGTTTAGGGTTTAGGGTTTAGGGTTCAGGGTTCAGGGTTCAGGGCTCGCGTTGAGGCTTTAAGCTTAGGGCTTGGGGCCCGAGATATATCCTTCGGAAATCACTATTCCTGAAACTGCAACAGGGATCCAACTATGCTTTGAGGGGTGCTGGAGTCTCCGGGCAAGGAGGGCGTCAGGGTTGAGTTGCCCAGGGAGACAGAGGGTTTAGGGTTTCGGGTCTAGGGTTTTGGGATATGGGGACCTAAACTGAACCCCAAACCCTAAACCCTAAACCCTAAGACCTAAGACCCTAAACCCTAAACCCGCAATCGAGAACTCGCCGAGGATCGGGAAGGCCTCGATTAGCGACTGCAGCGCCTGCGCAACCTCCTTGGTGTCAAGGGTGTTTAAGGTTAGGGCTTAGGGTTTGGGGTTTAGGATTTAGAGTTTATGGCTTCAGGTGTTGTTGGGCTTGTTTTGACGGGTGCGTTTAAGGGTTTAGGGTCGAGGGTTGCGGTACTTAGATAGAACTCTCCCGAGCACTAAGCTCACAAGTCAGAAGCATTTAGGATAGTTTACCAGCCCTACCTAGTTTAGGGTTTAGGGTTCGGGGTGTCAGTGCGAGTGTTTTGTGGTCACATGGGTACATGGCAACTTCTCTCAATTGTGGGCCTTTGGGCTCACTGTTTGCTATACGACCTTTCATCAAGGTTTACAGTACCTGAAGCTAAAACCCTAAACCCAAACTTTAGTATGAATCCGCACTGTCCTAGGCCCTGAGGATTTTGGGACTAGGGGGTTTAGATAAGCCCTGAACCCTAAACCCTACAGTAAACACTAAACCCAAACCCGAGTCCTAAACCCGAAACCCCGACACCCTAAACCGTAAGCCCAATCCCGAAACCTCAACCCGAAAGCCTTAACCCTAAGCCCAAACCCGAAAACCCAAACCCTAAACCCCAAACCCTGAAACCCCAAAAACCCACAACCCTAAACCCTCAACCCCTGAAGACCTGTTCCCTCCCACCCGACCCCCTCCTCGCACTGTGTCTCTCCCAAACCGCGCAAGAGCCGCTCGAGCACCTCAGTAGAAGGGCCCTAGTAGGGTTTGTAGGGTTTATGGGGTTTGTGGGGTTCAAAGGGGTTTAGAGGGTTGAGGGTTTTGGGGGGCTGAGGGGCTAGGGTTTCTTGGGGTTCGACAGGGCTTATAGGGTTTCTGCAGTTTCTGGCTTTTAAGTAGGTTTTATAGGGATGTTTAGGGTTTATGGGGTGTTTATAGGATGTTTTAGGGTGTTTAGGGTTTCGGGTTTAGACCCCAAAGCTGGTATCCCCCCCTCCCCCCAGCTCCTACTAGCTAAGTTGCCCAGTGTCCTAGGATTAAAAAGGGTGCCCTTTTGCTCGAATGGGTTGATAAGGGAACCTAAACCCCCCAAAAAGGAAATAAGGGCACCAGGACTCGGAGTCTTTTGTGTTATTGCTTGGGGCGTACATGTTGCTTCGGGTGACATGCAACTCGGGGAACTTCGAGCGCAAGGATTCGGGAAACGGAATAGGATGTAGGGTTTAGGGTTTAGGGTTTGGGGTTTGGGGTTTGGGGTTTGGGGTTTGGGGTTTAGGGTTTAGGGTAATTCGGCGCCTGCGAGCCGCCCATTCGGGGACCGAGGCGCAACCATCGCGAGGGGCGGGGTCTCTAAAAGGAGATGGTGGGCTGGTGAGCCCTCCTTGGAGGTTCATGGGACTTTAGGGTTTAGGGTTTAGGGTTTATAATAACCACTTAGAACTGGGCTTATAACCCTACTGATTAGGGAGAACCCCTAAAAGGCCCTTTAGGGGTATGAGAAGAAGGTTTATACGTACAGTTAGAATTGGTTAGTAAGTACCATGAACCTCCAAGTATAAGCCGTAAAACGGAGATGGTGTGGGGGGGAGGGGTGGGTGGCAACGCCTATACGGGTATTTCCCAAAATAAGGGTACCCCTTTTGAACCAAAATAGAATAGAATCCCCTTAAAGGGACCCCCCCCCCAAAAGGGTACTCCTATAATCGGAAATACCCATAAAACCCTAAAGGAATTAGTGGAGCTATTCCCTGAATTGTCCTGACAGTGTTCCTGAAGACACCCAGTTCCCGAATTCCGGTCTCCCAGTGTCCCCCGCCCCGTGCCTGAAATTTCTGCTACTCTTCCTAAATTCTGTTCCCGAACTCGGGGCCAATTCCTGAATCAGACTATGTTCATGTTGCTCCTTGTTTCTCACGAACTAACTATACCATTTACACGCGACCACCATGATTCGCATGATCCAAAAGCAAAAGAGAGGTTAGTCCAGGCATTTGTCGCGAAAAGCGAAGATTAACTTTGTTTGCTAGCTTCATGGGCTTTAGGGTTTAGAGTTTGGAAAATGGTACGTAGGTGGTCAGTGCCAGCAAAGCCCAAGCCCTCGTTTAGGTTTCATTTTCAATTGCGGTCGAGCGGCAGGAGCAAGCTGGGTCGCCACAACTTGCTGGACCTGCAAAAGCGGTGCTGCAATTGGCAGATATTGGATTCAGCTCGCAAGGTTTCCACCACTTTCCCATGGCTTTCATTTAAGAGCACACATACTTGGAGGTTC